TTATCATTTTGATTGGTTTTTGGCAAAACAGGAAAAAACTAAACCCAGTTTTGCACAAGAAAATCTAAAGAAAAGCAAAGCCATGTAAAATGTTAAAAAAAACAAACATGAAAAATATCTCAAGGTTAGAAATTTGTCTATAAATAATTTTCCTGCTTGCAACATGTATGGGCTAGGGMTATTGTTAAGAGAGACGTTCAAGAATTTCAAGAACCCTGTCTGCCGTAGCCCTCGCTATCTTACAGCTGTGTGTGGGGGCTGGGCTCGGACACAGCCTGGGCTCAGAGGGTCAAAATAGCGCAGACTCGAGCTGGGCTGACGCATCCAGTCATGGGACTGGATAAATGAAAGTATTCTACCAATAAAAGACAAAAACATGCTGCATGGACATTGGAGGCTGCCTAGCCATGTGATCTGGCTGAGGCATGTTTGATTGGTGTGATTCTATGTGCGGGAAGATAAGAAAGTGCATAATAAAGCATGCAGTAGTAGCTCGGGGGCTAGAGAGAGCTGGGATCACTAAGAGGAGAGCTGAATATCACTACAGAAGAAAAGAGCTGCTAAATCACTRTAGCAAAAAGAGCTGAAATCCGAAGATTAATAAAGAAGAACCTGTCTGCGCCTCTCGTGTCGTCTTTCCCGCGGGGTGCGGCGGGACCGGGGCTTCGGGCAGTTACACCCTGTCTCTTCAAAATAAGATGTAAGAACAGACAATGGCTTATGGTCAGGGAGAGTAAATATTAGGAAAGAGATTAATTAGCATGCCAAAGAACTTCACTAAGATGAGGAGGCTACAATGGGGCTGAAAATCTCCAGCTGTGCAGAGCTCTCAGGAAGGAGGAAGAAGTGGTAAATGAAGAATCAAAAAGGGTTCCCTACCTGTTTAATCAACTACAATGATTAGAACAATTTATGTTTTTTCAAACTGTGTTCCGAATGCAGAGACTTTTTTTAAAAGATGCTGGTGATCTACAGAGTAAAAAACCCAGGAGAGTGCATTTCAGAGGGAAAATTTTTAAAAACCTAAACTCTTCTGCTGATGTGTAATATGCAATTTTTTCATGTTATTTTCATTCTTATTCAAAAGAATGAAGAGCTAAAAGTTTCCTTACTTCATCTTCTAGTTTTGTCTGTAATATAATTACTTACTCAGGTAAGTTATGCAAATGAATTTGCAAAATGATTCTTATAACTTACTTCAGGCTTGAAAATCCATAGTGAAATAAGRTCACCCATACCAAATAAACCAAATATACTTTTCATATCATATTGTCATCCACTGTACCTTTTGTTGATCATAACTCAAATTGTAAATCTGTATTTCTGACCAATATTTGAGCAAACAGRAAACTTTCAGCACATAAAAATAGAACAAGTACCACATCGTCTTTGCTTATCCTTATTTCTCAATTTTGCGTGAGAACAAAAAACATGTGGAGGACCTTCTTCAGTCACACACTGGAAAACATAAACTAAAGGGGGTATGAATTAGAAAACTGCTGACCTACTTCTTAAACTTCTAGGATACTAGGATACTTAATTACAGAAAATGGTGAGAAAGAYGAGAAAGAAATTTAGGGAAGTCAAAGCTCATAATTGGTACCTATGTCCTACCCAGCTTCTGAATTGTCTGAATTGCTTCTATTGAGATTTTATAGTGTGAGATGGTTAAAGCAGGTCACCATCCAACACATAAACTGCAACAAGATGTTGAACATTTTGGTTCTTAAATGAAGCCAAATCTGAAAATTCAGCCATAGTTCTTAAAGCTGAGTACTTCTGTATAAGGCACATATAAACTACTTGGAGATGTTGAAAGTGGGAAAATGTTTTTTCAAGGAGATTCTGAATRACACGAGAAGGCCTTAATAGTCATTGGTTTAAAGGCTCCATCAATCTTTTGATGTTATGACTGTTTCATTCACAGAAAATCTACTGCGTACAAAGTTTGCTTTGAAAGGGTGTGTCTGGGACTAGAACACAGGGAGATATTTGCCTTTTTCTGGAAGCTCTGATGTATGCCAGATAAAMCTCCTGGGTAGGAAGTCTTCTGGATCTACTGAGAACAGTCAGATGAGAAGACTTTCCAATTTATAAGAATAAACTGCATCTAAAAGAATTGATACATAAACATAGAAGATTGTCCTTGGTATCAAAACACTGCTTATTGCTGTGTTGCAAATTCTAAAATAAGGTTTAAATTGTTCACTACACAAGAAAAGAGTTGTGAATTTTTGAACTTTAACAAATACAAAAACTCACTGTATGCTTTTCTAGAGACATAAACTTAATTTTGACAATGACAACTTAATATATTCAGTAGTCAAAGCAAAGAATTAAGATTTTATCTCTAGATGAGGTGTTTTTCTTGAATAGGCTTGGTCAAACCTGACTTGCTTAAGTTTGTTGGGGAAGTTCTGCAGTTTTTGTTATATAAAAAAGCCAGATCCTTCAGTGTTTAACAACTTTGGATGAAGATGAACTCAAATCCCAAAAATTTGTCCTATTTTGGAAGGCCTGAGTTCCAGGATTAATCTTTGTGAATTCCTATTGCATCTGCTGTGGTTGTTGGAGCTACAAAGAACATCAGAAAGATTAGATGAGATAGGAGGCAGAGATGTCACACCGTTAGGATGTTTCTGTTTCAGTTGTAAGCTTGTGAAGACTTTGCTTAGGCCTGTCCTGAGATGGTCTTCTGCCTCTGACTTTGGACAGATCCACAGAACAATGCCTTTTTCTGAAGAATATATAAGCTGTCAATAAAAACACATGGATGTGTCCTTAATGCTGTCCATCTGAGTAACCATGCTCTCTGGATTGGATCTTTGTGGTTTCTGGCTTTTTGACAGTACTTGTGTAAACAGAGGTCCACAGGTGTTTAGCAATCGAATGAAATTCATGAAGAATGAGACATGAAATATGAACACCCTGGAGCATTTACCCTAAAGGAAAAATATTAAGGATTAAATTGCAGTCCTAGCAGAAAAATAGGGAAAGCCATAGAAGACAAATACATTAAATCTTGAAGCCTGAAGTGGCCTGAAGATGAAAGCCAAAGGAGAATGGGCAATGAATGGTTCAAATCAGTTCAAGACACAAGTAGCAAAAGTCAAAGAGAAGTTGAGATTCAGCTAGCAAAAGACATGAAGGTTAATAAATATTAGTATGAAGAAGATGAAAGGAAGTGTCCCATTGTGGTGGAAGGACGTAGTAAGTAGAGAAATGGAAAAGAAYAATAATTTAAAACCTATGTTCCAATCACTAGTGGCAGGTAGTTGGTTAGCTCAGTCATCACAGCAACATCAAGAAAAAAAAAGGGCTTAGATAAGACTATGTAACACATCCATTTTGTATTTTTTTGTAAAAATATGATTGTTGTAATCATTTTTTGAATTCTGCCCCAGAATATTCACAGAATCGTTTGAAAGGACCTCAGAATTGTTTGTCATTGCTTTTGAGAAACGGTAGAGAAAAGCAGATACCAGGTAACTGTAAAAAACTGAAGCAAATTGAAGGGTTTTTTTACAAAAGAGACCTTCAAAAGARTGGGTTGAAAAAGGGTCAGAAAATGAAACTCTTGTCATTCTAGTCTTAGTTTCTGAAAAATACCGGGAAAGGTAAATTATGTCTTAATGTCTGGAAGATACCAAAGAAGATGTAAATCCTATCAAACCAAAATAATTTATGAAGTAAATCTTCTGCTCTGTTCAGTGGTGTTCCAGTGTTCCAGACATTGACAATGAAAAAAACACATAGTCCAATTTGGAAGCTTTAGTGGGATAATAAAGTGATTAGAGATCTCAAAACTATGGTATAAGATTAAAAGATCAGGGTAAAAATATGGTAATAAACATATCAGAAGGGTGAAATACAGACTAGAGTTACAGTAGTTTCCGATATGGGAAAGACTGCTGATCAGAGGAAGAGAGTAACTTGTTCTTCATGCTTTTTGTGAATAGGATCCACCATAAGCTATAAGTTTAAATTGCAGCAAGATCAACTTGTTCCAGGTATTGCAAACTTGTAAAGTTCCTCTAGTAAAAATCACTGACATAGATCAGTTTGGACTTTCTATCACTGACAGACTCCCTGGATGGTGATTCTGTGGTCTAGAAGTAGATTTGGATTGACATCTGTCAGCAGTGACAAGGTATATCTGGCTTTGCTTGTGGGCARGGGGATATCTAGATGTTCTTTTGGGATTCCCTTCAATATAAGTTTATTCAAATATAATAACACAGCCCTTGTAGTTAAAATAGTTTCATAAACTTAACTCCATGCTTTATTGYCTTAAGTAAACACATTCTTCATTTGCAGGAAGTGAGTAAAGCATTTTTGTGACACAATGTTCAGGGCATAAATTTCTTTGCATTTCTTATTTCTCAGCATGTCCGCATTTGTCCTTTTGTTCCATCAGTAACCTATGCACACAAACCTTTCTTTCAAAATATGTCTTGGGGCTTTTATTGTATAATTACAACATTCTTTCATACAACATATATGTGCACAAAACACATATTTAAACATATACTCCCTCTTGTTTTTTCTCTTTCCATCCTTTTCCTTGTGCAACAACCATATTGCTCACACCAGAATTATAACTGAGAAGTATATTGCAAGCTACACCATCTTCCTTGCTACCTCCCCATAGGCTCCATCAGCTAGTCAGATGTAAAGACACCTGAGTAGTTATGATTCTAAATTACTAAGCCTTAATATTAAAATGTTACCAAAAAAAAAAAAAAAAAAGAAAATGGATAATATTTTGGATTTGGGAAGAACTTCTGGTTAATAACAGTGATGCAGTGATGCCTCTTGACTGGACAGTGATGAAGAGCTGTGAGGCACAGTTTCTAAACTCCCAGTTTAATATTATGTTCGTGTTACCATTAGTATTATTCTCTTACTACTGTGGCAGTAACAGATTCCCTGTCACCTCTTAAAGATACTATTGTTAAACACATCAATACGTAACAATACATACATTTTCTGTAAGAAATTCTTGAACATTCAAAATAAAGAGTACTTCTCAAAATACGTAAGTTTARTCTTTGAAGAGAAGTGAAATTATTGAGGAAAAAAAAAGAAAACTTCTTAGTTTTGTCTCTTCAAAATGCCATTTCAATCAAGTATCATTGTGTGCTTGAATAAATGGAATTACCAACTTGTGTAAAGTCCTTGATCAGAATGAGGCTCTTAAACCAATTATGTGGAGATCAGAGTGCTTAAAATTGTAAGGAATAAATTTAGAATTATTAAAGGCTTCAAATAGCTTGGCTCAGGCAAAATTACATATAATTGATCATTAGTATGTGTTGTCAGGATAAACTGCAGTCATAGGTGCTGAAGATCTCTTTTTTGACAAATTGCAGTGAAACTTTTGTAAAACTCAAACCTTTTCTAAGGATTTTTACTGAATGCAAATTCTAGCCACTTTTATTCCTCTTTGCTAAGTATAGAAAGATGAACAATAAGTTAAAAGTACTAACTAATACCTGGATGATATTGTCAAACACACATGAAGCAAAACAAAACCAAAATATGCCTTGATTGCTGGGTAAGTGAAAACACAGATGCAGAAGCTGGGATGCTGTTAAAAAAGTTTAAATAAGAAATTCTTTAAAAAAACGAAATCACTGCCTTTATAGAGAAATCTATTCTTTGCCAAAGGGCAAAGCAATTTGTAGGAAATTAACATTAAGACTGACAAATACAAACTGGGTTGTCAGAGAATGATTGTATAAAGGACTGACTCTATAACCCACCCTGAGAATAACATGACTCTTTTATTGATTCTTATTTAGCGTCTGTGCAGTCCCTCTATTCCTTAGCTTTGAATTTTGTGATTCATTTATTATAGAATATAATATCATTCTGGATAGGTAGTATTTTCAGAGTCAGGCACATAAATCATAATCTGGCAATCATTCTCTCTATCTGTCGTACGGGTGACAGGATTTTCATTGATTTTAGTGATACAAATTTAAGGACAAAATGGCATGTATTATGTAGTGTATGAYATAGGCTATTTGATTTAATTAATACTTTACTATCTGTCTGTCGTTACTGTTTATGACCAAAATCAAAACTTGCTAGGATCAGTTGCAATCTCATAATCACGTCTTTTAGCATGAAGTGGCATTTTCCTGCCATCAGAGAAACTCTTGATGGACTTGACCCTAGTTCCAAGTCTGAAAGTAACTAATTTTTGACCACAGAAAATACTTTCAGCTACTACACTGGGAGTCTTGTGTTCTTAACATACTTGGCAACCTCGTGGTGGGTTAGTTTTGGCTAACAGCCAAATGTTTACCCAGCTGCTCCCAGCCCCTCTCCCCAGCAGGACAAGTATAGGAAAAACCGGAGTGAGAGTGCTCATGGGTTAACATAAAAACAGGAGTATTGTTTACCGATTACTGTTGCAAACAATGCAAACTTGACTGGAAGAAGATTAATTTATTGCCAATTAAAATTAAAATGTAATAGCTAGTTTGAGCAGTGGTAAAGAAGACACACGTTAAAACAACAGCTTTTCTCCCTTTTTTTCCCAGGCTCAACTTCATTCCAGACTCCCCTCTCCCTGACCAGCACAGGGAGAATTGAGGGCATGTACAGTCAGTATGTAACAGTTTCTCTTCACTGCACCTTCCTTCTCACAATTTTCCTCTGCTCTGGCATGGCTTTTCCATGGGCTGCGGTTCTTGCCTTAGCCTGGGCTTGCCAGTTTCTTTGGGTATATCCCTTTGCTCTGGTATGGGATCATCCAGAGTCTGCAGCGCTCTGCCGTGGACAGCACCTTCTCACCTCTCTCTGACCCTGGTGTTCCCCGTTGTTCCTCACCGTTTGTTCTCTCTTCCTCCCTCCGCACAGCATTTTCTGCCCTTTCTTAGCTGCGCTTCGCCGAAGGGCTTAGCTGTGGCCGCAGCGTCACCACTGTGGAGCTGGCTGGAGCCAGCTGTTCCCARCACGGGAGAGCCCCACACCTCTTCCCACAGAGGCCACTCGGCAGTCTCTGCCCCACTCCCTCTACCGAAACCTTGCAACACGCAGCTAATACAAACCTCAAAAGCAGAGTTTATTCAAGTCTAGGGAATAAGGCTAAAATTAAAAATTAGATTAATTAGGTCAACAGGATGGCAGATGGAATTAAAAATTAAATATGGAGGCAGCTATGCCGGAAAGGTAATTGAACTATTTACGCACCTTGCCCAATTCTAAATTAAATTTAACTAATCCGGGCAAGCAACCAAATGTCACTGAAGGCTTTGAGTTAACATACAGTTGCTGTTTAAAAGACAAATGCCAGAAAGAGAGGAAAGAGTGCACGATCCTTGCAAAAGGGCATAACACGAGCAGGCGGCATCACGATGTGCCTCCATCAGCGCTCAGAGGCGATCCGCGAGCTTGTGTCTCTCCTTGCCCCGAGGGCGTGGGAAGTTCTATGCTGACACGGCTGGGAGTTTTGAAGGATCGCGTCCGCCGGGAGCTTCTCGCCGGTCTAACTCGGGGTGCGAGGTGCTACCGCAGCTGCAGCGAAGTTCCAGCGGCATCCACCCCCACCTGGAGGAGGCGGCGGCGGCAAAGCGCGGCAGCTGCGGRGCCGGGCGGGGCGCGGATGGCTCTGTCCGTGCTCCGGTCCCGC